AATGGAAGATAAGAAAAGACGATTGTTGTTCAACCTGAACTATTCACGCCAAACGTACAGAAAGCAGCACAACTAGATGATTAGAATACGACTCGACTCTCACAAAACGCAATCAACACTCTCTCGGTAACACCACTCGCAAGCTCTGCTTCTCCGCTGGCACGCTGCGTCCCGACTCCCGCGCTGCTTCCCGACTCGCACGCTGCTTCTCGACTCGCACGCTGCTTCTCGATTCGCTCTGGCCGTTGTAGCATTCCATTGTCTTTTACCAGGCCCACCGCACACGTGTTCTGCAGACGCTCGTGGCCAGGGTCACGTAGGTCTTTTCTACGAACTATGCACTTGAAAAGACCGACGACACATTGATGGGGCCGACGGTGCCTCGGCTCTCGCGACATTGTTTATGGTTCGCCCGATATCTCTTAGGCCTTTCGTCCACGATACTACATTCTGTATGTTTAGTTTGGAACGTCTGCCCATGAGCCAATAGAACTTTTTAAGTTTGTCCTTTAGTTGCTTAGTTTTGTCAGTGATGTCGTTTTACCATGTTAATATCCTGTCCAGGGTCATGCCCAGGTATCGGACTGAGACCCTGCTAGGAACTGTTGCATTGTTGATGGTGACCTGGGGGCAGGTTTTTTTCGGAGCGTGAAGGTTACATGTGAGAATTTCTTTTCGTTAATTTTGAAGCCCCATTTATGAAACCACTTTTCCATGGAATCGAGACTTCGCTGGAGTGTGGATGAGGCTATTAGCCGGTCAGCGTGGGTAGCTAATAACGCTGTGTCGTCTGCAAATGTCGCTATTGTTATATCGTTTGATATAGGTAGGTCGGCAGTGCAGATGGAGTACAGTAGGGGTCCGAGGACACTACCTTGAGGTATGCCGGATTCTATTGGGAATGGTGCGGAAGTGGCGTCTAGGCATTTAACCATGAATTGTCTATTGGTTAGGTAGGATTTTAGGATGGAGTAGTAGGGGTGAGGTAGGATCTTTTTAAAATGTATAATAGCCCTTCATGCCATACCTTGTCGAATGCCTGTTGGATGTCTAGGAAAACCGCTGAGCAATATTTTTTCTTTTCGAGTTGGCTGATCGTATGGGTTATGCGATGGATTTGCCCTACTGTTGAATGTTGTTTTTGGAAGCCGAATTGGTGATCTGGGAGTGTTTTCAAGTTCTCTAGGAGTGGGAGGCGTCGATTCGTGAGCATCTTCTCGAATAGTTTAGACAGGGTAGGTAAAAGACTGATTGGGCGATAGGAACTGGTTTCGTATATCGGTTTACCGGGTTTAGGGATGAGGGTAATCAATGAGATTTTCCAGGCCTTCGGATAGTGTTCAAAGCGGAGAATAGCATTAAAAATCGATGTGATGAGTGCGATCCCATTTATGGGAAGTTCCTTGATTGCTTTATTGCCTATTAGGTCGTGCCCTGCTACTTTCCTGGAATTTCGGCAATTGATTGATTCCATAATCTCTGCAGAAGTGAAGAGTTCAATAGGAGGAAACATTTGGAAAGGAGAGTGCAGGTATTCAGTTATGTCCGCGGCAGCTTTGGTGGAATGGGGTTTAAATACTTTAGACAAGTATTTAGCAAATAGGTTGGCTATTTCTATAGGGCTGCGCGCCCATCCACCTTGCGAACGGCGGATTGGAGGGATTATTTACCGGGGGCGCGTGAGTTTCCTGAAGTTTCCATAGTGAGTAGTTGGAGTCAGCTGTGGGGGCAAATTGGCGAGATATTTATGAAAACAATCATTTTTATGATTTCTGATGATTTTGGTTAGCTTTCTAGTTGCGTTGTTTAGTTTGCGTTTATTATCCGGTGTTCTATGGGTCTGCCATACTCTCCTTAGTCTACGTTTTTCTGTTATTTTTTTAAATATGTAATGGGGATATTCACGTTTGCTGATAGAAGTCTTAGTAGGTGTGGAGGAGCGGATGGCGTTTATTATGCTCGTGTTTAAGAATTCCGTGGCTGCTTCGATATCTTCATTAGTTCTTAGTGAAGTTAAGGCTGAAGTTGAGTGAATAAAGACTTCTCTAAAGAGTTGCCAGTTGGTGAGTTGGTTATAGATAAACCCATTAGGTTTATTCTTGATAATTGTTGAACTGACTGTTGCTATCACGGGGGAATTATCAAGAGAGAGATCAGCTGAGGAGTTGACTTCGATGTATCTTGGCGAGATATTTTTCTTATGAAGAACTCAAGAATGTCAGGTATTTTGTTAGTGTCAGTGGGCCAGTATGTGGTAAGGTAGTTGAGACTACTGGTTATTTTGCTGCTTAAGAGATTTTTGCCTCTTACTGTGACCAGTCTGCTGCCCCATTTGATATGTCTGGCGTTATAGTCTCCTTCAGCTATGAATCTACTGCCCAGGATGTCAAGGAAGTTATCAAAGTCTTCTTTGGCGATGGAGTGTCTGGGAGGGCAGTATACTGCTGTAGTGGTGATTGTACCATGGCAGTCTTCTATTGCTATGTATGTTGCTTGGAGCTAGTCTTTCTGGAATGATGCAAGTTCGCTTAATGCAAGTTAGTGCTTAATGCTGGATTTGATTATGATTCCGGTGCCGCCGTGGGCTTTCCGCTAGGATATTGAGTATGGTAGAAGTTATAACCATTTATTTTCAGATAGTTTTTGTCGGTGAAGTGGGTTTGATATACGAGCATTACGTCGATTTGCTGCTGTTCAAGGAAGAGTTCTAGTTCAAATTTGTGTTGAGCTAGATCGTTGGCATTCCAAAGAGCCATGCGTTTTGGTTTTATTTTGCGTCGGGGCGTATTAATTTATCCATGATGAGTGTTAATAGTGATAGGAAATTATTTATTTGTTCTGATTGTTTCTCTATTAGCTTTTTAAGCCTAGAGACGTTGTCTGTGTTTAGTGCATTGGGGACACTATTTTGAGAATGGTCCCTGTGGCTATGCGGATCATTTTGGTTTCCTTGTACTGCTTGGGCATAGGAGATTGAAGTAGTAGCGAATTTAGGAGGACTGGGTATTTGGTATTTAGGAGGACTGGGTATTTGATTGATTCTCTCTTTGGTTCTGAGTACTAATATTGTAGATTTCCTTATTGTTAGGCTTTTGTTTTATATCTATGAAAAATAAGGATAACGGGTCTTTCGAGACTCTATGCCTTATATTACTTACGTTGATGACTTCGTGGCCGAGTTTTGAGAGTTCGTATTTGAGTTCGTCTATGTCTGCTGAGTAGTGGATGTTTCGTAGGACCACCCGGAAAGGCCTTTCCTGTTTGAGTTGGTAGGTGTGGAAGTTGGCGTTCAGGGTCCTAAGTATCTTGGTGAGTTTTCTGTAAGCTTCTGGGTTCCTCGGCAGTATTTTTACTTTATTGTTATTTATCTTTAAGTCGTAGTCCTCCTTGGAGATATCTTTCTCTAAGGACTTGATCATTGTTTGTATGTCGATGACGTCATCCACAAATATTGGTGGGGGAGGGGGATTCTCTGTGCTTGTGGGTTTGGCGGCGGGTCTGCGATTTCCATGGCGTCGTTCGTGGATTGCAATACGGCGAATCTGTTGTGGGTGCTTATTTGTATCGTTGATTGTTAGGAGGTAGCGCGGGATAGTTGCGAGTCTGCTCCGGAGAGCCTGGTCGCGATTGCTGGGCCATCATCGAGCTAGTTAATTCGGGATGAATAACTAGTCGTGAGGCTATGAGGCTAGTATTCGGATAGAGTTTAGGAGCGTAGGATCTTTTTCTCTAAAGGATAGGAAACACTTAGCTGTGTTCATTTTCAACGGATGGGCGACACGTGTTGTTTTACGAACTTCACAGAGCACTAGACAATCGTCTGCACGCTTCGGCACTCAACAGTGAACTGCTATATACGATTCTTACAAGAATTGTTGTTATTTAAGGCTTAGGAAAACGTTTATACAGAAACCACACACACTGTGGGCATTTCTGGCGCGCGTTTCTGTTCAGTGACAGTACTTCGGCGGACTGGACTGTCGGAGCCAAAGGGTTAAAGAAGAAAGACAAAAAAGTCCGTAAGATTTATGAAGTGGAACATGTGTAACCGTAAAAATTGTAGACATTCTCGTAGTTTGTGATATTCTATGATTTTAAGTGATAATAACACGTTGTATATCTAGTTTTTCTCCGAATAATGAAAAAAAGTTGGATGTCATTGCTAAGAAGAGACACGGAGGTACGAGAAGCATTCTTTTCGCATATGGAAAGAAATATAATAATTTTGAATTAATGATTTTATAATGATGAAAAATGTTTAGATTGACAAATGTAATCTTTGGAAATATCTGCAAAATAAGACGTATAAGGTAAGGAACCTTTCATACGATGATTTCCAAAAGTATAGAAACCGTTAAAATATGCCTTTTTTAACTTTTTTGTTATTCGACATTCGTAATAATAAAAATAGTGCGTTAACGAATTCGTGCTAATGTATTTCGAAATTTCATGACACTGTTCGTCTAGAAGATATGTAAGTTATTACTTGATAGCACGATAAACTGACTGTGAGTAGTAATGTTAGATAATATATGAAGAAGAAGCTCGACAGAAGAAATCAGGATACAACGATGAATGCAAGATTCTTAATATTCAACACGTATATATCACGTGGTGGTCCCTTCAATATGTATCATCCAGTGTCGAAATGATACGTCCTTTCTATGAAAAATATTTTGTTTACTATTTTATAACGAACAACGAGCGAGGGCGAAGACACAACCTGATAAACTTGATAATATAATCATAGTATATAAAGTATAATATGACAAGAAGCAGGTTTTTTGTGGTGACTGTGTGGCGGAGCAGACGTAAGGAGGACGGAGCCGGGAGCGTACTCGAAATCTCCGGAAAACTGGAGAATTCAGGCAAGGAAAGTAACCAGAGTGAAGGATTAACGCCCGTGAAAGCAAAGCGGAACCCATGAAATCTGGCGTGGAAAGGCGCTAAAGACGAAGATAAACCGAGTGCGAGGTTATGACGGTGGGGTAGCCATATTAGGACGCGTGACAACAGCGCCGCTACACGGGCTATCCGAGGAACTACACGGACGCAGCTATATTGGCATGCGCGTCAAAGCGCCGCGCGGGCCATTCGAAAGTGACAGCGACTAGTGGAATAGCAAGTGCGGAGGAAGTGGCCATTTTTGCGCCCAATGGCGAAAAAAGACGCAACAGTGGCGAAAGATAAGGAGTTAGGGGAAATCGTCAGAGGAGGGGGCGAAGCGGAGCTGGTGGAAGGGCCCCCTGGCAACGATGGATATGGTACCTAATGGAACCTGCGCTGCTGCTGCGGATCATCGCGACGCTTTTCCCCCGCAAGAAGACAGGGCGGCAGAATGGTCGCGGAAAACGATACGGACGTTGGAATGGAGAGATGACTGGGAAGTCACAGAGGAAGAGATATGGGAGACGACCAGAAGAATGGCCTTATGCGACGTGGCGCCGGGCCCGGACGGAATCTCGGGTCGGATCTGGGCAGTAGTGATGAGTCCGCCTCTTCTGCGAGCGAGTTATGCTCGCGAAGGAGCGAGCGGAAAGGGAGAGAAAGAAAAACTCTCAGCCCTGTAGGATAAGACTATGGAGAAGGATGGCAGTCAGACAACCTAGAGCCACTCCACCGCCACTCCACGGACCACGACGGGAAGGAGCGACAGCGCTAGGGGCAATGATCCCGCCGCCCCCCCCTAACTCCAATTCAATAGTCAGGAGGTACTAGGATTGGCTCGAACAAGAGGACGCGAGAAGGGGGTGCAACAGAAGTTAATTCATAAGAGGTTCCTGGAGCACCCCTGTCACACGCTTAGGATGGCCATCATGGAGTTTTAGTCGGTAGGAGTCCGACACTACTCTGCTGTTACGCGATTACTGTAGCAGCGGAGTCTCCATGAGGATTTCTCCACGTATAAAAAAAAGTATATAAAGTATAATATATGAAATAATTGCGAAAATGCATAATCTCTCCATTACATAATATTACTTATAAATACTTTAGTTTATTTGCCTATGTTTCAGTTTATTTTACTAAATGCAAGGAGTCATTGTTATTTCAAACGTAAAATGACTAAAATACCTCGCATGTTTAATTTAGTCGCCCCGGTGTATTGTTTACACTTTCATGAACACGAAAAATTTTCGAGATGAATATATTATTTGAATCAGCAACGCATAACATTGCCCGGTTTCAGTGGTAGGGTGACGTTATTAAAAGTAGGAGTATCTAGAATAGCGACACATCGAATATTGTTACAGTGCAGTGAAAGACGTGTCTGGGAAACAGTAGCAGGTAACAGACGATTTCTTGTTATTCTGTATTTAGTTGTGTCTGCCA